CGCCATCATTTCTCAGCATTTCACAGTGAACTCGGCAAAGCTCGGAAGTGTGTCTTAGGGCACTCTCATCTGCATCTGGAGAGACTGTGTGTGTGTGTGTGTGTGTGTGTGTGTGTGTGTGTGTGTGTGTGTTTTAAGATAAAAGACCTCCTGAATTTACACTCGTGGAGAGATCTTCATTTTTCCCCACCCTGTTTGTCTTCTATCAGTGTTTCCTGTCTCTGAAACTGAAAATAGCACTTCTCAGTCACACCAGCACAATTTACTCATTTACTTTATCCACACTTCACAATTTCCAAATTAAAAAAACAAAAAACCCAACCTATACTAACTGAAAACTTTTGAAGTTATTTGTTTAGATTTAGATTTGTATTGTTTTTTAGTTCGCTGAGCTGAAGATAAACAGATATATTGCAATTCAGATATTAGTTTCTCTTTGTTTATTACAGTAACTAGAATTTTTTTGGGGGGCGGGGGGCGGGTGAGGGTATCAAACCCAGGGCCTGGCGCCTGCTAAATGCATGCGCTACCACTGAGCTACAACCCCCAGCACTGGGTTTACATTTAAATTTTAGTTTGAGACTTTTAAAGGAAGCTTTGAAAAAATATTCTTGTTCAGTAATTTTATAAAAAATACATATTCCTAAAATCAAACCCAAGAAATAAGGAAGTCACTGAATTCTTTTAACCCTGTCTCATTCATTCTTCCTTCTCTTTGTGCAACCATTTTTATGCATGTCCTTTTTTCAGTATAAGCAATGATGTTATTTGGGTAGGCTGCTGTATTTTTTGCTCTACATGATACATGTATTTTTTTTTTCCTTAATATACTACACAGCACCCCCATCTCTGTCTTGAGCTATTGTTTATTGGCTGAGCAATATTGAAGTTCTAGAAATTCTCTCCTTTCCTCCTCTCTCCATCATCTACTCAAGGTGGCGTCCTTTACCCTCAATATTTCTATCAGGGAGCCCATTCTTTTCATTTCCAGCCTCCCCTCACAGTATTCCTCTCTGTACATCGTCAGACTGTGTGGCCCCTGCAGACGGCACAGCTCCCCGATGCATTCGTCTCTGGGTCCCAGGTCTTCCGTGGTTATGTGTTCACTTCTCACCCCCATCTTTCAGTTAGGCCCTCCCTAAAGTGCTGGTGGCCTGGACCCTCTCCCTAGGCTAATGGGGACCATCTTCCCTGGGCCTTGCGGATCCATGACAGACTGTGGTTGACTTGAAGGTCAGTTTGGCTGGATATAAAATCCTGGGTCTAGTTACCTTTCCTAGGAGTCCCTCTGTTGACTTCTCATGGAAAACCTGCCTCTCGAAAGGTCTGATGACTCTAAATTTCTGTCCCTTATAAGTGACTTGGTCATTGACCCTCATGAGTGACTGGACTCTTAATGAGTCCATTTTTTCATCTTTTTTCCAGATTATTTTCTTAGGTGTATGATGTGTCTATTTGGCATATAGTTTCAAATACATATATATATTTTACTTCTATAAAGTATGCTTGAGTTAAGGTGTTAAGTATTCTTGTTGTGTTGTTTCTTTTTGGGTGTGTGATGGGGTGGGGTGGTACTAGGGAACCCAGGACGTCATACATGCTAGGTAAGAGCCCTCTCACTGAGCTACACCACCTGCCTTATTATTTAGAAACAGGGTCTCTCTCAGTTTCCCAGGCGGGCCTCAAGCTTGCCATCCTCCTGCCTCAGCCTCTTGAGGAGCTGGGATTTCGGGTGTGCACTACTGCACCCAGCAGAGGCTCCTGTTCAACATCATGTTTGATTTCTCGGCTCGTCTTCTCTGAGACTTGTCTTGAACATTTCTCTTTCTTTCTTCATTTTCTTGGACATTTCAAACTCCCCTCCCAACGTTTTCCAGTGCCCCTTGGGTGATGTTGGTCGCAGACATTCCCTTGCATTCATTCTTGTTTAGTCTCCATTTCTAAAATGGGTTTGGTTTTCTTCAAATTCTATTCTCCCTCCCCTCCCCCCGTCCCTTTGCTGAGTCCCAGCTCTTCTGAGCGCTCCCATCCTGGTGTGTTTCTTTCTATCCTCTGTTTTCTCTTGGCTCTTTTGAAGTCTTAAAGTTCCCCTTGCTCTGCAGCCAGTCTCCGTTGGTGAGAAAGCTGGTCTGATTTTGGTTTCTCATGATAACTGCGCCCTCGATTTGACCACAGTCTGTTTTGTTACTCCTTCTGAAGTGAAATGAGTTTTCCTGTATTTTCGGGGGCAAAGGGGCAGCCAGAAAACCCTTCCCAGCTTCCGAGCTCTGGAACTCCTTCCCTCCCACTCCCGCAGAATGGTAAAGCAAGGCCCCTGTTTTCTTCTCGGCCTCCCCCGCGCAGTGCTCACCCCCTCTTTGATCTCATTATCACCATCGTGTTGCACTTGGACTCCGGAGTTCCTCCTCGGAGCTTCCTTGTGGAAGGAGGCTTGGTTTCACTGGTTTGGAGGCTGATTGGCTCCCTACCCCTTGCTGTGGTTGGAGGGGAAGGAGGGACCTGCAGAGATGAGGCCTCTGACTCTCGTGGTCCCAGATTCCAGAAACGTCAGAAATCGATCTCTCTTCTTTATAAGTCACCCCGTCTCGGGCATTCTGTGAGAGCGCCCCAAAAGACTAGGACACGCCCAGGCATTTCCCTCTGGTCCTTTGTCCCCACCCTGGGAGCTGGATTCTGCTGGACCCCTTTCCAGTTTGCTGATGCTTTGCCCAGAATCGCTCATCCCCTGCTCCCAGGCCAGTGAGACTCACTTGGAGATCTGGGGCCTGTTGGCTTTCCTCCAGCTTTCTCCTGCCCCAGAGTCGCTCCACCCAGTCCCGGAGGCTGTGGATGAACGGGCCACACCCGTTCCTCTCAGGTTCGTGGACCACATGGTGGCCGAGCTGAGGTCTGGTGCTGTCCGTGGGTGTTTGGGTGTAGGGTGCTCATTTCTCTGTTCTTGTTATTGTCATCCCTGTTATTCTTACGGACAGGGACGACGAAGGCAAGGATTCCATGAGGTTGACAGACCACGGCACCTTTGACTCCAGCACCATCATTGTCCCTGAATCCCCACTTCAGTTTTTTAATAGTGTTGGGGAAGATGTTTATCTGAAATAATATCCTCTCCTTCCAATCCATCCAAGCTAAAATACTCCCAGATGTCTAAAAAAATGGTTTCAATCACACACACACACACACACGCACACACACACACACACACACGCACACACACACGCACGCACACGTATTGATTCTTTTTAGTTACAGATGACAGTAGGTTCCGCTCTGATGTAATTAAAGAAGCATGGATTATATCCTGTTCTAATTAGGACCCCCATCTCGTGGATGTACACACTGATAGGATTCACTGTGGTGTTCTCATACATGTACATAGACCATATATGGTTAGTAAATATTTTATGGGAAAAGTAGTACCTTTTAAAACGAAATGCATAGGACCGCTAGCCACTGCTTCTTCCTTTAAACAGTAGCAAGAGCCACGCTTGATGGTGCATCCTGCAGCCCCTGCGCTTGGAGGCTGAGGCAGAGGATGACTCGAACCCAGGACTTTGACATCAGCCTGGGTGACCTAGGCACCATCTCAAAAAAAACAAAAACAAAAAAAACAAGTAAACAATAAAGAAAAGTTACATTGCTCGTTTCAAGTGAGTGTGTAGGAAACGAAGTCCTTACATTAATGCAGTATGAAACCAACAGCTGAGAATTCATCAAAAGCCACAGTGTGGATCAAGCTTAGGCTGGATTAGGACCGTGGACTCTGAGGAAGTGGTAGCCCTGAGGTGGAGAGGCCCCTGGTCTTCCTGGTGTGTGTTCTGATGGTCTGAACAAACGGTGTCCCTATCTACCTGCACACCCTTGCCATCCCCCAACCCCAGGTCACTCTCTAGTTCTGGGAATTCAACTGGTATTAATTAAAATGAGTTGTCAAATTCTCATCGACAATCACACATTTCTCTCCTTTGTTAATAGCGAGTGGCACACAAAAGGAACTCTGCTTTTTTTTTTTTTTTTAATTTATCCTTTTTGAATTCAAGACCCTTGATACCAAAGGAGACAGGCTAAGCAGAGGCCCTCTTACAGAAATGTGTTACCTTTAGTACCTTGAGGCAAAGGGTCCTGTTTCCTGTGGAGTTTAAATTTAGATCCACTGAGCCTCTTGAGAAACTCGGTCATAAAGGGGGGACTTGGGAGTGTCTCTTTTGGAAGCCTTCTGTGTTACATTCTGATAATGATGATGTTAGACTTGTTTGCAGTCTTATAAGAGAAACTCCAGAATGGCAGCTGAATTGCTTCGTCCTTCCTCTTCCAGACCTGTCCCTTTATTCAGTACCAACCGGGCACCCTCCCTGTACCAGGCTGAAGGGGCTCCTGTGCCAAACCACCCACCTTTTTATTTTTTCAACCCTATTATCTTATGAGTGCCTTGATAGTCCACTACCCAAGAAGATCTATCATTAAATTTCAGTCTATTTCATAAGTTCTCTTCTGAGATGCCCCGTGCTAGGTGTGTAAGTGTAAACCCGTCTTGGATAAACGGTATGATGTAGGCCAATGAGTGGACCGTCATGTGGCTGTGCTCCGACACACTGTCCTTACACAGGCCTGATATCTTTCAGTGGAGTCACGGGAAGGACTTCCCGTCCTGATTCAGGGGGACATTCTTCAGGGAGACGAGCTGAACATCGCCTTTACTTTCCTCTTCACAACCATGAAACCTGATTCGGCAGCTGGCACCACCTGTGTCACGCTCGGGTCTGTGCCCTATTGTGTCACACCTGCAATGGTAAAAAGGAGAACAAGTGAACGTAAAACTTTTGTTTCTGCTCAATCGCTCTCAACAGAATCCGTTTCCCTCCCTCACTTTGCGGGTGTTGGACATTAGTCTCTGGTCCTCTGAGGAGGCCTTGGCCAAGGGGCCACCTCTTTGTCTAGCGAGAAGTTAGCGTCCTTAGTCGCGTGACCACAGTTACATAGCGTCCTCCTCCCCAGGCAGTGCTAAAGGGTCAGGGAATGTCCAAATAGAGAAGCTTCTCTTACACCATAGGCCACCTGGATTTATTTGTTATGGCAAAATCCTGCTCCATGAAGAGGCGATTTATGTATTTAGGGGAAAATGAACAGAAATCCTACCCTTCTAGGGGCTGGAACCAAGGAGAACTCGGGAGGCACCCCTAGCCATGGCTTGCCTTCTGCTGTCTGCATTACCCGTGGTTGACCACAGTCCAAAAATATGGACATTTGTCTTGACTCCCTCGAGAGAGACCACATTCACATAACTTTTATTGCAGTATATTACAATTACTCTATATTAGTTATTGTTAATTTCTTACTGTGCCTAATTTATAAATTGAACTTTATCATAGGTAGGTATGTATAGCAAAAAAATAAGCAATTAGGGTTTGGTCCTATCCATGGTTTCAGGCACCCACTGAAGGTCTGGTCATGGATAAAGGGGGATGACTGCGCCCAAAGTTTCACCTCCGTAGGGTGCAAGCTGGGTGAGAGCCAGGGACAGCCCGATCGCCTAACTCAACCTCTCAGCTCCCAGCAGCTCAGGGCCCCGGCATGCATTACGGACTTCACAAGCATTTGCTTTGTCAAATGAAAAAAGATAAGTGAGATGTATCAGATGACAGGCTAAGAACAAGAGAGGATAAAAAAAATCACTCAGAAGCAGACAGAAAGTTGTGTGGTGCAGCCCCGTAATGAATGGTCCTTGATAAGACTCCCCAGCCAACAAAGAAAGGTTAAAATGTAGTATTCTCTATTTTTAAAGGAAGGTCCATAAAATGTAGAACTAAATAAACAGACCTTAGAAAAATTTCCATTCAATAAGCAAAGTTGTAGAAGGGGAAGAGATGAAAGTAGTTTATGCAAATACGCCATTTCCCAGTAATGCACATAAACATTCACACCCACCTGTGAGTACAAAGATGACTGCGTGGATGATTGAAGTGAGAGTGAGGAAAAGAATGGATTGATTTCCATGCCGGCCTCTCTCCCTGATCATGGAGGAATCACCAGGGAGGCTAAAAATGGGCAGCAAGAAAAGAAACAGTAAGAATCTTGGATAATCTTCCCCTGGATCATTATGACTTCACTGGGTCTGTTTTGATGTGTGCACATGTTTTTTTGTACATGGAAAAGGATGAACCCCACAAATATCATAAATGCCAATTTTTGAAGGCTTTTGGAAAATGTAACCCACAGCATATGGTCTCCAATTAATTTGGGGTTTCACTTGTCTCAGTCTGATGTGGGCACATTGAATTATGAGATAATAGTTTGGCGTTCATGTTTACTGGGTGCTTTTTGTAAGCTGCTCAGTTTCCCAGAAATTCTCTAAAGTTCAAGGTCATGTGATGACCCTTGTTTGAAGCAGCTGGGGAAACAGAGGCACAGAGCTAGGGAGTGGCTCACTGGACTCTGGCAATAGCTCCTCAGGAGAGTCTGGGCTGGCTCCGGCACCCCCGTCTCTGCCTTTGACCCTTCTCCTATGTTGGCTCTGCCTTGTGTCACTTCATGCAGGTCATTTCCCCCTGGTCACCTCACAGACGGAGGGAGGAATTTAAGCCAGGATGGATGGAGTTTGGCAGGAATGAGCTGTATAGCCAGATTCCATCCCAACATAACCGTGCCTGTGGCCCCAACAGTATTCAAAACCTTCAAATGATGCTTTACCCCGGCTTCACCCCTTCCTCGGGTGACAAGGAGGGACCTCACCTGGAGGGAATGCTCTCTTGGTAGCAGAAGGTTTCAGTTTTTTATCCACCTCCAAAATCTCCTAAGTGCATTCGGTTTTGCTTTTTTCCTTCAAGCCAACAACTCTAATTAATTGAGCAGCTGTTCCCTGCAGTCCAGGTGAAATTTGGTGCATCTACTAATTGTGCTGAAGTCCCCAGCAAAGAAGTATGCAGCTGTGGATCACCAGTCACCTCTGGCACAGCTGTTTAGTTAATGTTTAATAGCAATAGATACTCTGTTCAGTAGCTGAACGAAATGGTAAACTTTCCGCACTTCCGTGAAGTTGTCTGTAAGGTATCGTCTACTACCGAGATGCTGAATGTTTTAAATAATTTGTTAAAATATTAAAAGAATGCATTTAAATATTTAAATAATTTAAATATAAATTTTATAATTTAAATATTATTTCTTTAAACTCGCTCTTCTTACCCACTTCCAAAATCTGCTGCACAAAGGGAAATGATTTGGTATAAAACATGTTTATTGTATAGATTCTGTCGATGAATGAGCTTCACAGTGAAGGACTTTCTTTGCATTTCTTTTGAGCAATATATTATTGCTGTGTATCCACTCTGAACTGTGAGGTAAAGACAGAACTGTGTGGTGCCTCTGAAAATACCAGAAGTGTCTTAAAACATTACTTCTGAGAGGGTGAAGTGTAGAGAATCACAGAATGTTTCAATATCAGCCTAAGGGTTGGCAGCCTTCCATTCAGATTTCATTGTGAGTAAAATGTGTACCCAGTGACTAGGTTCAAGCCCTTCCTCGCTCTTAAGAAAAATCTCTCTGCTCTTTCTAGATTCTTGCAAAAAAGAATTAAAAATAAAAGAAATAGGTTAAGCAAATTCTGTGGCGCTGCTTCTGTGTGCTCAGACGTGCACAGGTTCTCCGTATCTTCCCAACACGGAAGGCGTATTTTAACAGCACAAGTGAATCTACATGTCTGATCTACATGGAGCTGCTGCTTTTCTCTTCCTCACGTGCTTTTTAATTCTACAATTGAAGCATTTTAACTATTAAATCTGTTTGGTTTCCAAGCTGTAAACATCACACGAAGCTAATAAGCTTTAGGAAAGAAAAGGAAATTGACATTTAGTGTAGAGGTTCTACAAAACCAATGAAACTCTATGCAAATGAGCTGTGGAGCAGACAGATTTGCATATCCTTGTTGGTTTCATGATGACATTCTCAGCGTGAGCCTGGTGACTCGCCTTTCTACCTCTTGAGATGATGCGAGGACTGGCGGCAGAGCCCTGCAGGGTCAATTTAACAAGGGTAACATTGTGATTTTCCATGTGGTTTCTCAGAACCACTGGGCAAAGCGAGGCAGTAAATAGTGACAGAGGAAATCGATTTTTGAAGTGAGCACTTTGGGAGGAGAGGAGGAGGAGAGGGGACAGTCTGTTTATATTTAGTGTTGCCAAAGTAGGTGGAGCAAGTTTAGATGTAGTGTGGCATTTCTAAATCAATACAGAGGGCTGGGTGGATGACTCAGTGGTGGAGCACTTTCTAGCTTGTGCTAGGTCCTGGGTTGCATGCCCAGCATCAAAATCATGATTATGAGATATAATATTTTATATATAATAATATATTATGATGTATAATATCATAGTACATAGGTAACATCTATTATAACAATTATTATATGCACCAGTTCTGCCACTCTTGATAACTTAAGGCCCACCCCTGAAACTCAAGTCCACAGACTGGTCTCTTTGCAGGCCACCTTTGACTGCTCCGAGGTCTCGCACAAGAAATGCAATCTAAGGAATTCACCTCTGCCCCATCCCGTTAGAATAATAGTAGCCCCAATAGCTAAATTATATAATTGTTTCATCAATTGTTTGTATCATTAGTGTGTGAGGTTCCAGACATTGGAAAGCCCAGTTGCAGAGAGGCTAAGAATTTTAATATCATCAAGACGGGAATTTGAACTCCACTCTGACAGTGTCCCCTATCTTAGTTTCTTACCCATAAATGAGGGTACGTGTGGTGATTAAGCCAGAGAGAATATGCAAATTCTCATACTGCCTGGCTTGCAGTGAATCACTAAGAGGTGGTATCCTTATTTCACCCGCTTTCAAAATCACAACCAAGCTTCCCCTTTGAAAAATCAAGGTAGCCTTCAGAAGGCAAAGGAAATGAGATTCACCCCTGACCTATACTTGGAGAGTTCGGGAGGGTCTTTCCCAAGTTGTCACTTAAAGCGCTTCTGAAAAAAAAAAAAAAAATTTGCCCGTTTCTGCCCACACCAATCCCATAACATTCCAGGAATAAAATCTGCACTTGGTTTTAAAAATAAAACGGGTGGAACAAACTGAATTAGAAGTCCTTGGCAGACATCTCTCCCCCAAGCAGAATGTTCTCTCAATTGGTGAAATCGCAATAAAAGAGATGTAGATTTTTTTCTCTGTCCTTCCTCCCTGTGCCCATCAGCCAGTTGTAGTTCTCCATTCTAGACGCCCAGCGAGCAAGAGTTCATCTCTCCGCCCCTCCAGGGTCTGTGCTCCCACCCGCTCTTCCCCAGACATCCACCAACCCTGCTCCCTCCGAGCGCTCATACCGTATATGTGCATGCTGCTAGGGCCCAGGGCAGGTCGTGGAAACGGGAGAGGGCCGGGCTGTTCTCAGTTGTGAAGACTGCCAAGTCAGAAACCAAAAAATCTTCACTGTGTTCTCATTTCTCCTGCCTCTTTTTTTTTTCTTCTGTAAATATTCAAACCCTCTTTAGAGAGCCTTCTGATAATGTTATCCCAGCAAATACCAGCGACCTCGGATGTCCTCACCACTCCCCCATCTCATAGGAATGACTCGGGAAGGAGCTAGATCCAATGCGGTGAGCACGATGGGGCAGAGGATCCCGCCACTCTCCTCGGGCACGCCTGCCCACCGGCCATCCCGCCCTGTCGTCTCCATAGAAATGATGTAAAGACCAGACGTGCCCGCCCTTACACAGGCACTTGCAACTTTCCCAAAAATGGAAGTGAAAAGCTTTCTTTGGCTGAGCCATATGCAAAAAATTATGGAACATCTGTGTAAGTAACAACATACAACAAGAGAAATTATTGGTGGTAAAAGGCAAAGTCCTTGTTTCAGAAACACGTCTGGAGATGGTGTACATACAGAACCTTGCTCCGTGCTAAGTACAGAGTCGCTGTCAGCTTCCTGCACCACCCCGGCAGGGCTGTGAGAGCCAGTGGTCAGGACCCATGTTTTCCTTCTTTTTCTTTCTTTCTTATTTTTCCCATCCTCCTTTCTTTTGACTGTTGAACAGATCGTCTAGCTTTATTCCAGTGTTGCTGAGATCTGCAAGACCAAATCAGAAGTGGGGCAGATCTGGTGACTTGCAGCGTGAAGTGTCCCAGTGGACAGGTGCCCCTCCCCACCCCTGGTCTGTTTTGCTCTAGTACTTGGTCTGGAGAACCAGGACTGTTGTTGGGTCCTGGTGATTTACCTGGAAGCTTCAGGAGTATTTTTTCCTTTCTCATGTTCAATGCTGTTCTCAGTCTCAACAGCCATCGCAGAAAATCATGTCACTGCAGGCAAGTTTAGTCTGACTTATTCTGAGACGTGTTGTGGTTTTGCCTGCGTGGCAAACCTGGGAGGTGTGAGTACTCAAAGCTGTGAAATGCTAGAATTGGCCTCCAGCTAGGAATTCACGGACCTGAGTGTGGACCCAGGTCCCACACTCTCCTCAGTTGCTCTTGAGAAAAGGACCTGCGTGGCCCGTCTCCCCATTTGCCCAGTGCCTGCGTGCAGTTCATCTGCAGGGCAAAGGAGCTTCCAACCCACGGAAGCACCATGACCTGTTATAAGAGAGATTCCAATGCTAGCCTTGCTTTTTATGTTTTGTTTTATTAATCTTTGCTGAATGAGCTCTAAACATGTTGCTACATACTTTCAGATTTCTTTGTCTATTCTGCAGTACCAGTGAGAAGTGTAGGGTCGCCACAGTCAATCAAGTAAAGAGAATGTGAAAGAACTGGGGGATGTCACCTTAAGGGCAAGAAACAGTAGGGCAAAGAGTTTCAATCCAAAGTTCTTAGGCAGAGACCACACCAGAGCTCAGCCTGTGTTGCTCCTCAGAACGTCCTGGGCCCTCAGCACCTGGAACAAGTAGAGCAACAGGTAGCCAGGCATTCTGGGCCAGCTTCTGTTGCTATGATAAAACACCTGAGGCCAGCTAATTGATAAAGAACAGAAGTTGATTTGGCTTCTGGTTTTGGAGGCCAGGAAGTCCAAGAGCCTGGCACTAGCCTTTGCTCGGCACCTGGTAAGGACACCTGTATCGTAACCTGATGGAGGCATCCTGAAGCCAGACAGCTGTCGGCTAGCTCAGGTCTTCTTCCTAGAGAGCCACTGGAGCCATCTTGGGGGTTCTGCTCTCATGACCTCATGTGATCCTAATTACTTCCCCAAGTTCATCTCCAGATACCACTTACATGTGAACTTAGAAATTAAATCTCCAACACCTGGACTTTGGGGTACCCATCTGGTGACCTCTGCCAGCACCCCTAGCCTCTCCTCCACCTACTCTCTGGGTTGAATGCCCGCGTTCTAGTCTAACCCCGTCCCTTTGTGATTCCAGCAGTCCCTGTGATTCAGACCCACATTCTCTTCCACCGGGCCCATCCTATCAGAATTCTCCCCATCTTTCAGGGGCCAGCTTACTCCTCCTCTTTTCTGGAACCTTCAGCCACAGAGCCACTAACCACTTTCTCCTTTGAACTCCCCAATTGCCTTATTACTGGTATTTCTTCATGACTGACAGCACAGTTTGCCTGATGGTGTCGTTGATTGTACTAATGTGTGATCAGAGGACAGGGTGGCCCTGAGTGGTCCAGTGTTAGCTGGAAGGAGCTCGCTTGGGAGCAAATCTCCCTCTGCCTTGACAGGCACTGGAAGTGGGCTCAAGTCCTTGACCTCTGTGTCTGCTGCTCTCCTCTGCACACTTGGCTTAAGAATAATCATGACCTCATGCAGTTGTGAGTATTAAATTAATGTAAAGATGTTACCATGATGTAAGCACTTAAGAAATATTAGCCATTTAGTAGTCTTGGTGTTCCAGAGAGAGCCATGTCTTGTTCCTGCTTTTATCCCTTGCAACTTTATTATTCATGTAGAAAATCCCCCTCCGTAAACATTAAAGACTGCACCATGCATTTGTCAATATAAAAATTTGTTTGAGTCAAATAATGTAGCACTCAGCAACGTGCCCCCCGCGCCCCCCCCCCCACAGCCTCATTGACCTAGAGTCATTGAAAATCTGTAAGGAATTTTCCAAGTGTGTCAGAACCAGAGTATTTGAAAACAACCTCAGAGCCCCGTGGAATACACTTCAATCATCTTTCTGCATCTGCTTTCTCTTTGGGGGACAAACAGTTAGCAGAGCCCAATTATAAGGCACGCATCTGTACACAGTATTGTTTGGCAGGAGCTGAATGGAGAAGTGGGAGTTCTATCCTGCCTGACTGCTTCCATCCCGACTTGTAGGGCTGACGGCCCTTGGAGACACTGGAGTCGTGGCAGATCACTGTGAGAGGGGGCCTTTGACATTCTGCTCAAACTTCCCATGTGTTTACAACAAACCCTGTGCATGAGAGTATGAAAATTCAGAAATGTGGACCGCCTTTCTTAGGGTTTCTGAAATCGTGTGTATGCACAAGTGAGAGGGGGACGGTGGCGTGTGTGTGCATGTGGTTGACCTTTGTGCAAGGAGTCGGAGGGCAGTTTTCCAGTTGCCACCAGCTAACCTCTGGCAAGTCTACCTGGCTTTATGTCGGTGCTTCTGATTTTGACCCCCCGCCCCGGGTGTCTGGCAGTTTCTGGAGATTTTCCTTGTTAGACTGGGAGGTTCCCTGGCCTCTGGAGAGCATTCTACACTGCCTCGTTCAGCCCCTGTCAAGAAATTACCACAGCACCAAGGTCAAGAACGCCAGTTCGCCCTCGTGTAAAAAGAGCCCCGAGAATTCCCGGGAAGATGGCTGTCACCCTGTGCTGCGGGGAGCTGTGGCCCTGTGGAGTGCCACCTCTGCAGGACAGGCACTTCCACGGGAATTCTCCCCCGTGACATCCAGTGCAGGAGACCCACATGCTAGGGAGAGGACTGGACGGGGCGGGGGTTAGACTGGCTTCCTCTGGTTTGGTCCTCTGTCAGCGGTGACTTGTGTCACTTTTGTCTCCGTCTTGCCTTATACTTAATTTTTTTTCTAGTTTCTTAATCTTATGGGTCTGGGAGACGAATTGCATCTAGGAGGTGGGGAAACCTAGGTGTGGGTTTCATGGATCTTGCGTTTTCGGCCTTGGTTTTGCTCCCAGTGTCTCCCCAGCCTGTGCATTCACACACACACACACACACACACACACACACACACCCCACACCACACCACACACCCCACGCACACGCCTCACCACCACACGCAGGCCAGGTGGCTCCTGCTTACATACATGGCTTGGCGCTTTTACTCTCTGGCTAAGACCATTTCACACATGAACAACACAACCTCCTCCTGGAGACTTGTCCTCCATCTGCTTGCACAAGAGCTGTCTGTTTCCCTCCGAAAACTGGTCCAATCACCATTTTCCTTGGCCAGAGTAGCTCCCCAGCAGCCCTTCCATAAGGTCTCTGATTGCGATTTCTCATTCTCCCGTGCCTGCCTGGCTTCAACCTTCTGTCCTCTTCCCCCAGCCTCCCCACAAGCCCCTCCCCTCAGCCTTCTCCTCCTTCCCCACTAAGGAGCCCTGTCAAAATGAATGACAGAATCAACTTCCTTCTCCCCAAATGGCTCACTACTTGTAACTTCAAAGCAACATTGCCTTCTGTCCTCAAAAGATTTGCAGATTTCCCTCCTCCCCAAATGATCTCCCTCCCAGAGGGAAGCTGTGGGAGAAGGCCTGGCCCAGCACTCGCTCCGGGCTCTGTCTGCAGCAGGATTGTGGACAGATATGCCACAGAGGCCCTCCTTGGGATCTGCTCCATTCTGCCTTGTGCCACATGCTTGCCCCAGACAGGGGTTGATATCGGCTCACTTGGAGTTGGATCCTTACGTCCTTGTGCCCATGTGGTGCACACTTTCTGTCTGTGCCAGAACAGAACCATCTGTTACAGGAGGTAGAAAGGTGACCCGTGGTACCACGCTGCTTGTGGTCAAGAGGGACAGTGTGATGGGCGCCTGATCTTGAAAATAAAAGTTGTGTTACAAAGTAAAAAGTAAAACAAAATGTGCCTTAATATCCATAACGTGGTTTCAGTGGTGTGTACTTCTGCATTGGTAGCAGGGTGAACTCATTAAGGCTGGGGGAAAAAAAAGGAACAAAAAAAAAAAAAACACTGCAGGATCAGGGGAATAGATGGTAGTTTTCTGTGGTTTGGTGCTGGACAGCCTAGACTCCCTAGACTCATAACTAGACTTCCATGCTCCAGAGCAAGATGTGGTTCAAATTCTGTGCATTTAAAAAAATTTTATTAGCTATTGATGGACCTTTATTTACTTGTTTATACGTGATTCTGAGAATCCACCCCAGTGCCTCACACATGCTGGGCAAGCGCTCTACCACTCAGCCCCAGCCCCTCAATGTGGCCTTTTAACCCAATGCATTTGGGTTGAGGAGTGCAAGTGCAGGCCCAGCCACAGTGGGGCCACACCAAGCCACAGCTTGGTGCAGTGAGATGAGGTAGGATCCCTTCCCCTGAATGTGAACTTGGTGGGTACGGAGGGGTCTTGAATGAGAAGGCATTTGTTGATTTTGCTTTTGCTCTGTCCCATAGAACTCTGAAACCAAGCATCTGTGTACTTCAAAATAGGAAAGAACTAGGAGACCTAGTACTTGGTGGCACTTTAGATGGGGAATGGAAAGAGCTAGGACATCACTCTGTCTTCAGTTGACTGAGTTTATGGGCATGTTATG